TGTTCAGTTCATTTTGTCTGATGAATGTGCTTTCCTTTTTGTTTTTTTGTTGATGAATGTGATCTTTTTAGGTTTAATACCCAATTTGGTCCCTAAACTTTCCTTTTGAAACTTAAGTCGTCCTTTAACTACAGAAAGCACCCAAATCATCCTTCAACTTTATTTTTCCAGAACCCAAATGGTCCTTCTGTCACGGAACTGCATACGTGGCACGATTAAGTCTCCACTAATTACCTCTTTTAATTTTCACAAGCTTACTTGGACAATACACCTCACCCAATTGATGACATGGCAATATCCAGCCTTCTGAATAAAATCGCAGAGTAACTTGATCAGAAACAGAATTTTCTCGCTTTTGGATCTATTTAAGTCAGGTAAGAGCTCAATTAGGACGCAGACGACGTCGGACTCTATCGCCTTGAATCGGCTCTTCTTTGATGTTTCTAAGATCTCAATTAGAAACTCCAGCGCACATGAACTCGCCTTGCTGCAAATCTCATCGGAAACGAACTCTAACAGAGATTTGAAGAATCTATGCCTTAATCTTGAAGCAAGAAATTCCAATTGTAACTGTAAGTAGTCTTTGCCATTTTCCTGGAAATCGTTAACGCATGGAGCCTCACTTCGGCGCTTCCTCTTTGAAGGATAGTTGCCATTGATTTCATGCACTCTGTTTTGACAAAATTTCGAATGTGCTGTTTTGATCCTCCGACAACGAAAGCTTACGCAGAACGCCGAGCGCCTCTGCGTACGCTTGGAACACGACGAAATCAAGAACGTCGATTAGAATCTGAACAATTATTTGAGCGAGAATTTCAATGCCATTGAATCGAATGAAATCTGATTTAGTCTCATCCCTAATTTCGACAATGGATCGGAGCTTTTTCAAGGTGGTGAACTTAAATGGAGAGGATTCGACTGTGTTGAGGAGGGAGACCAGCTCGTCGTGCTTGGCGGAGAATGGCAGAGGCGGAGGAGGAGATGAGGAAGATTGAGTGTTCTACCAGGAGAGGATGAGTCGCTTGAGGGTGTGATTGGGAGTGAAGTGGAAGCTGTGGACAAATTGCATGGTACCTGTTTTTTTGTTTTATTTTATTTAGAGGGCTGGATATTGCCATGTCATCAATGGATGAGGTGTATTGTCCACGGAAGCTTGTGAAAATTAAAAGAGGTAATTGGTGGAGATTTAACGATTACAAGTATGCAATTCCGTGACGGAAGGACCATTTGAGTCCTAGAAAAATAAAGTTTAAGGATGATTCAGGTGCTTTCTGAAGTTAAAGGACGACCTAAGTTCTAAAAGGAAAGTTTAGGGACCAAATTGGGTATTAAACCATCTTTTTACGATGAATGTGCTCTTTCTTTTGAAAATGACGAACCGTAATTTTACTCTCTTTTTTTTATGTTCGATCTGTTTTTGCCTGTTTTAGTTGATGGGTTGTGTTTTTGTGGGTCGGGTTGACCCGACCCAACCTAAAAAAAACTAAAAAATGTTATATAAGTTTTTATTAATTAATTAGGTGAGTTAGTTTAATTTATGATTAATGAAGTTAATTAATTTTAATCAAAATAAATTAATCATATTTATGAAAATTTAATTTGAGATAATTAGATTTATTTGATTATTTTAATTAAAGAT